TCTACTGCCATTGTTAACGGCCAAGACACATTTCTCCTTGCGAGATGAATAAAGATTGTTATTGCCATTGTCATTGTCAAAACCCTTTATTACAAACATAAAGTTTGCTTGTTGGTTTGCTGTGCCTGCGTCACACTCCGTTTCTTTTGGTTTATTATTTTGTTGTTTAGTTTAAATTGGTTTCATTGGTTATTTGTTTGGTTATATGTTTGGTTTTCTATTTGCTTTTTGTTTGAAAAGGGTAAAAAAAATATCGGGGGGGGGGAGGGCCTGCTCGTGAATTGTGAGGGGGGGGGAAGAAAGGAACATACAAGCGGCATGGTACCTTTCAACCACCCACTTACAAGAAAGGAGAGAGAAAAAAAAGGATAAAAAAGGGGGGTGAAAAGCAAAGCAATGTCTACTGGTGTCAATCACTATATATGGGGTTACAGTATTTTACAAGCACTATCAACTAGTCAGAGGATACTTGAGCACTAGAGTTATATAAATACTGTCGAACCAGTCCAACACAACCACCTATAGCTGAGGAGAAAAATCATTCTCTTGAACAGCAAAATTGTAATATGTGTCGCAACGTGGTGGAATCAGGTGCTTGACAATTTTTGGGGCATGTGGAGTTATTGGTATCAACTTAAAGCTGGCTTATTTCGCTTGTTTTCCATGAAAAGAATACATTATATTAATCTTGCTTAGAGGGCAGTCGAGATATTTGCAAAAGAAGGAAGTGGGAGTTGCCAGGTATGTATTTTAGAGCAAATAGCTGCGAAAGCTTGCAAACTAAAAATGTATACTTTTTATACCTTTTAAATAACGTTTTCCAGTAAAATCCATACAGAAATGTTTTAAATGGACATAAAAGGTGTTGAGCCAAAAAAAACAAAATTCGATTAAAATTATCAAACTGGAGAAAAAATGGCAATTTCTTCAATTTCACTCTCTGGATCTATAGCGACAACAAAGCTGGATCTTCAATTTCATTTTTTGATGAGCAACTGGTTCCACCACGTCGTGACACATAGAGAAATAAAACAGGTGGGGAAGGGGGGGGGGTTGTTTGTACAGGTGATTGTCTTAGACAGGTGGCTGTTTGAACAGGTTCAACTGTAGGCTATTGTACATGATGCTTGTTCATGCTGAACACATCCCCCCCCCCTCCCCCCATGCGACCTACATCTCATACTGACACGAGTGAGGCCAACCCAGCAGAGGAGTCTAAAAATTATTTGCATCATTGGTACTTTCATAATGTCTGGTCTATATGTGATGATCTCATAAACTTCAAATTATTTTTAAAAATCTTTTTTTCTAAAAGGGAAATGACAACCAAAAAAAAATAATAATAAACGAAGGGAAAAAAGCTGACTACAGATTGCACTCAGAAAAGCCATGAGAAAGAACTGAAAGTTTAGGCTGTTGTTATGTTTTTGAGCTGACAATAGCATTAGCATGACTCAAATATGTACTGTAAAAACATTTAAGTGTGTGTGTGTGTATGTGTGTGTGCGCGTGTACATGTGCGTGTACATGTGCGTATTCGTGGGTGTGCGTACATGTGTGAGTGTGTGTTTTTAAGTGCATGTACATGAGTGTATCTGCACATGTGTGTGCGTGTGTACATGTCTATGTGTGTATATGTACATGTGTGTGTGTGTGTGTATGTGTGTGTGTGTGTGTGTGTGTGAGTGTGTGTGTGTGTGTGAGTGTGAGTGTGTGTGTGTGTGTGAGCAAATGAGAAACAGTGGGCGGTGTGTGCATGTGCACACGTGTGTGTATGTTTACATGTGAGTGCATGTGTACATATGTTTACATCTGTGCGTGTGTGCATGTGCGTGAGTGTATGTGTGCGTGAGTGTATGTGTGCGTGAGCATATGTAACACACAAGAAGCACGTATCCAGGAAGAAGACATAGAGAGGAGAATACCTCTTCCTCCATTTCCCACTCGGCCGTTTCCTTGAGCATCTCCTGTTCCTGTCCAACCACACACAACGGCAACAGACAGAGAAAATTGTGGAGGGAGGGGAGGGGGGAAAAAACAACAGGGAACTGTAAGTCAAAAATGCCATCAACCAGAGAGTTATAGTTTTGGTTTTAGAAAGGGGTGTCACGCCACTAGCAACACAAAAAATATCACAAAGGTGCAAAAGTTCTAGACAGTAACAAACAAACAAATAAGAGATGGAGGTGAGATAAGGACGACAGATTGTCACCTCAGAATTATTTTGTCCAAAGTACTCTAAGTACACTCGGGACAAAATACTTTTGAGGCGACGAGATGTTTGACAGGAAAGAAGGAGCAAACCACACTAGAACACCCGCCACACACCCACTAAACCTAGTAGCACAAAGAGAGAGGACAGTCTAAAGCATGCAACAGACATAATATAATACTATAGCAAACACAAATCAAAATGCCCGGGGTAGGAAACTAGAAGGCAGGGGCTAAAAAGCTTCATTTTTTAAAGTTATTTGCAGACCAGTCAGAACCCAGGGCTAGTAAGAATCAAACCTCAGACCCTGCGTACTCTCCGCCGAGTACACAACCATCATGCCAAGAAAATCCCCATGTACAGTCGTTAAATGTGAGAGATGTGCCGACAAAATGAGTCGCTTTTCCTATTTTAGCCCTTTGGACATTGATTCGTCACATTTGTAGGTTGAATATATACAGTTGAATATGTACAATAATATATAAGTATGAAATAACAAAAGACATGTTAAACTTTCGTAAAATGTCATCAGTTGAAAATCGAAATTTGACGCTATATGCATCGGATTTTCACTCGATATCACTCTCCGTGAATAACTAGCGAAAAGCAACTCGTTTTGTCAACATCCCTCATAAATGAACAAAGTTTATTTCATGCGAAACAGTTTTACGTAGGAGTACATTTGTGTGAAAATAATGACTTGTCTTAGGAGTATACTTCAATATGTGGAAATCTTTTTATATTATTAAAAAAGAACCACTTGACAGGTATCTCCTACTATACCCCAGTGCAAAAAAACACAAAACATAGCGAGAGAGAGAAAGAGAGAGAGAGAAAGAGAGAGAGAGAGAGAGAGAGAGAGAGAGAGAGAGAGAGAGAGAGAGAGAGAGAGA